TTCCATAACTTTGACAAAAATTGACCAAATTTTATTTTCTTTTTTTTAAATTACTCATGAAATTCCAAACTTTTTGAAAATAATTTTTACAATTCTGAAACTTTTTATTTGTTATAAAAAAATACTTTCTTGTATAAACAAATTAAAAAATAAACGTGTTCTGGATGAGTATATTTAATTTTATAAACATAGACTTGAAGAGAATTTATTAAAGATTGAAATAAAAAAAATTATAACTTGGAATATTTTAATAACAATGAATTTCTTTTGAAAGCGCGCCCGCACCCTGTGTAACTCGTCTGAACACGTTATGCGACTTTGTTACGCCTTTGCTGTGAGTTCACTGTTTTAAAAAATTCCACGCTTTAGAATAAGGGTTACAAATTCAATGTTTATATATTCGTGTATTATTTATAATCACTAACAATAATATATTCATTTATTTTTTATTTATAAGGTACTAAATAAATGTAACTCGATAGATGTTTAGATCGCTAAGTATTATTTTATTAATTTTTGTTCGAATTCTTACAAAAACAATAAAAGAGGATGTTTCTCCTTAAACGGAACAGTTGCAGTAACTTTGCGGCAAGCTTGCCGCACAATATTGCCAACCTTGAATGGTAAGCTAACCGAAAGATTGCAGTGTAATGTTACTATACAAGATTATTCACAATAAGATTATCGCAAGATTATTCAGTACGCTTGCACGGTAAGGTTGTAGCAAGGTTGCCAAATAACCTTGCTTTAAACCTAAAAAAATTTTGTTTTAAAAAATCTTTCGTCTAATTTATATAATCAAACTAGCAAAATATGCGCGCTACAGCGCGCTTACTTTATGAATGAGAAAGAAGAGCAGTATATTGGGATCTGTAGTACTTGTATGAAAGCGAGCTGCTGCTTTCTTATTGGGCAGCTTGATTTTATACGAGTCATAGCAACTTCTTAATTTGTTAGACATTTTACCTTGTAATGTAATGATGTTAGTAACGTCGATCTTTGGAGCAAAATCAAACATACTCATTGGTATTGGGGTAAGATTAACATTTATGTATACTAGAGTAAAAAAATCGGACAAGTTCGAGTTACACTCACATTAAAACCGAGGGTTCCGTACCCCTAAACCTAAAATTTGTGGCGTTGAAAGTGTGATAGCCGATGGAAAAATTCCAATTTTGCTTAATTTTTCCAGTAAATGTTGAAGGTAAAATGATCATTTTTCCTGGTCTAACATTCTCTTCTTTTGATTTATTATTAATAAAATCCATTAGTCCACAATATAATTCTGCTCCAAGCTTTTTTTGTTGTAAACGAATATATTTTAAACGCTCGCCCTCTACTTTCGACCAGACATCAACTACATATTGCTGAGTTAATTTCCCTAATGCTAAACATGGATTAAATGCTCCTCTATAAGAAAGACGAACCATGTAATATTGTAAGACAGTAATATTGCCAATGCCTTGAGTTTGTTTTATGTTTACAGTCCATCCCTGATCACCTGAAGGAAACATTAAAGGATAAGTCATAGGGTCAACATTCGCACTGAGGCTGGAAATTGGAATACTTTTGGAATCTTTAAGATGTATACATATATCGCGTTCAATAGGAGATTCACCATCTTCGCTAACAAATACAATTGCTACTTTATTACAAGATGGAACATTAAACTTGTTTTGATCTAATAACCTGTTGCGTTTAATCCACATTTAAATATTTCTTACAGAATTATTTGATGATTTAGCTTGTTCTTCTTCTTTAATCTCAAAATCTCGCATCATTTTAAAAGCTTTAGCATGTGGATTAATCTCTCTAAGTAAAATATCAATTTCCGATAATAATTTCATCAAACATTTATTATTATATTCGTTATTTAATCTTTCTTTTACAGCTGCATTTGAATCAATTGTATAAAATTGACCATATTTACGACTATCGTCATCATTTGGATGAAGAGAGTATGTACAATGATATACTTGTCCATGAATGCAAAAAAGATACGGACCTTTTCCTTTTGGAACTTCTAATTTAGCTCCCATGCTAGCAAATGAACTGTTATACGAACGAATATTTTCTCTGTAATTTTTACCCATAGAGGTAGAGTCACATAATAAACTGGTTAAATACTCAGGATAAGAAGTTAAGTCATTTAACTTCACTTTTCCTTTGTGACAACAGCTATTAAAATTATTATCTGAGGTCCTTTCACCCAAATAATTTTTAGAAATATTTTTTTCATCAAATTCACCTAAAGATATAATTGCAGTTCATAATATTTCTAAAAACAATTTCTTATTCTTACATTCTAAATTCCCTTGTTGGCGCTCTTTTTTTCAACCTCTGTTTCTGTCAAAATTTTTACATTTTTAGTCATTAAATCATTTTCTAGACGCTACTTTTTTTCGATTTCTGTTTCTAAACACAATTATTTATTCTTACATTCTAAATTCCTTTATTGGCGCTCATTTTTTCCACTTTCTGTTATAATTTTATCATATTTTCGCTTTAAATCGTTTTCTAGGCGCTTCTTTTTTCAATTTCTGTTTCTAATAATTTTTTTTTACATAGAAAATTTCTGTTTTGATGCACTTTCTTTTCTATTTATGTTTCTTGTCGATTACGTTTTCTCTGCATATCCTTTTCTTGTCTTTCTATTTTTTGTTCTATTGTTTCCTGAAACCTAGCCTTTTTTTTCTTTCTTTATCTTGTAATGATCTGACTTTTATTGCCAAAGGATTTGCTCGCGAGATGGAGTCCGGGTACCTATTTTGACTAGTTACTTTAAATCTCGGTAGATGGCGTGAAGCGCCATCTATGTTTCGATTAACTTCGGAATTATTTCTTACTATGATGTAAAGAAGAGGTGTAGTCATTGACGAGTCTTTATTTAAACCTTTGAAAGAGAATATATTATTTAAATAAACGAATAATAAAATATACAAAAATGAATTATTACATAAAATAATATAAGAACAAAAGAATCTATACAATGCAAATAAAATACGAAACTCTAGAAAACATAACGATAAAAGAACTAGCTATTCTAGAGGAGCGTTCGCTGAGCTCCGATCGCGCTCGTCAGTATTCCAGAATAAAGCGGATTTAAACATATTTACCACGTTTGCGAAGATGTTGATCAGGTTAATTGGAATAATTAAATCAAGAATTTGCAAATACAAAAAGCTTTTCATATCGAAAACTAATTGTGATAATCTTTGCAATAGTTGTGCAAATTCATTAATTTGCTTATCATTTAACATTTCTCCATCAGTATCTATAATGCTAAAATCTAGAGCACTTAAGCAACTTTTTCTTTCTGAATTTGACATTGTTTTTTTATGAAAATAACTTGCATAAAAAATCTTTTCTTAAACCCTGGCGGATTGTGTGGACTGTGTTTGGACCGAGTTCAGTCCCAACTCGGTCCAGTTCGGTCCGAGGCCAAATATCATAATAAATTAATGAAATATGATGAAATAAATGATTGAAATTGATAAATAAGTATTTAAAAAGTTAATTTATGGAAACATTTATATCATATTCTTATTCCTTGAAATTTCACGATTACGAGCATATGTTGTTGGAATTAAAAATGTCAATATTTAAAAATTTTATAATTTTCTTGAAAAACTTATTAAGGGCCATAAATAGAAAATGTCATTAGGCCCAAGAACGCCGCTCAGGACCCCCTCGGTGCATGCGTCCCTCGAGCTCCGAGTTTATGGCCCGTCCGGTAGAGTAAGGGTATACAACTTCCCCATAAGGACGCAATCAATGATTGCCCGAAACAACATGAAACGTACCTTGGCTCCTCACTAAACCAATAGCAAATTCTTACTGTCGAACTGTAACGCCTTTTTTTTCTATCTAAGAAGAGTCATATAAAACTATCCTTCACAGCTGATCGAGCCCGAACAGAATGAACGAATGAAAGAATTCTAAGATTATTATCTTGATTATTATAGTAATTTATAAAATAAAATTGTATAAATTAGAGGAAACATTTTTAAAAAAATTTTTTAGGTTAAAAATAAGCTTATTTGGCAATCTTGCTACAAGCTCACCGTGCGAGCTTACTGATTGTGAGTAATCTTGCGATAATCTTATTGTGCAATCTTGCAGTAACCTTACACTGCAATCTATCGGTAGGCTTACCATGCAAGCTTGAGTCAGGTGGGACATTAGAAGCTTACTTGCTTTCTGGGAGGAGAGGGGGTATAAAATGCGGACTATGTAATTAAAAATCAATTGCACTAGGTGCCGGTCAAACAAAAAGCGTTTTCAAAAATTCTCTCTCTTTCCTAGAGTTTTACTTAAATTATCATAAAACTTTGGGAAAATACTCTTGATATGTTATACTATCAAAAAAAGTCATTTTTGTTACTCATGTAACCCCTTAACAGTTATTATGTGGATAATTTCTAATTAAAAAGTGGTGTTTTATCAATCGGCAACCACAGTTGAATCGACCTTCAGTCCAATTGTGACTCATGGTTACCGACCATTAAAAAATGGGGTTCTTATTCATCGTGTTATTTAGTGAACACGAACACGGCATTACATTGTTGGGAAAAATTTTTAAATATTTAGAAAAACTTTTATCTTTGTAAAATTTAAGTGGACAACGCTCAATCAACCTTTATGAGGAATTCACACTTCAACCTAAGAAGAAAAAGCGGAACGAATTTCCGTGTGGCGACTACGTGTTTTTTGGAGTGGGGACTATTGAAAGAGTTAGGAAAAGCGCTCTTAGGTCGAAATGTGAATTCCCCATTATAAAGCTATGTCTACATTGTAAAGACAACACAAGACGCTTGAAATTACATGGCTTTTTGGTTTTGCGTCCTGTGTTCTCTTTAAAATGTAGACACGGCTAAAAGCTAAAGTCCATTGACTCTTTTATTCTTGGGTACGAGTATGTGCGTCACACCAACTTAAGGAACAACGACGCGCGAACGATAACAATTCTTTGCAATATAACTATTTTTATTATGTTGTAGATGACCTTTCAAGTTTTAATGGATATTAGTGGAAAATTAAATAAAAAGAACTTTGGCGTTGAAAGATATCATAGTGGACCAAGTGGCTATTCTGATTCAAGACATTCGGCTTATAGGTATAGTTATTGATGTTTATTTATGGCTAATTATGTAAATTGTAATCGTTTTCAAACTTACACGTACTTTTAGTAACATTTAATTGTATTTTACAGAAAATTAAATTAAATTTATTTTCGAAATATTTTCAACGGTCATTTTTGTAAATAAACAAAACATTTAACTCTATTAACATTTTGTAAAATTCAATTGTTTTTCACTGCAAATTTAAAAAATTTCAATTTGTCAATGCTTATGTACAATTTCTGGTTAATGAAGGTTAATAATGTAATGAAATAATTTCAACAATATTTAAGATCACATTACATTAGGAAATTAAAATTTCTAAATTATTCTTGAACAATCAATGCGTGTGCAACATTTTTTAAAAATAAATTAATTAGTCAAGCGATTATGTAACTTAAAGCGTTAAAAGATATCTTTTTTCAGAACATCAAAGGCTGGTGGTAAAGGTTATGGAGCCGCTCTAAGTGCCTTAGCACTGCTTGCTTTTTTATTTCTTCTCAATATAATGCAGGTATAAATACATATTATGCAGAACAATGAAGTTTTGTTTGGTTAAGTTAAAGTTAAATAAACAAATGCAGAGATTGTACAAGGGATTTTAATCCCTAAACAGTGAACCTTGATAACTTAATAATGACCAAATACTATGAAAATAAATTTTGAATTATATTGTTCAAACGACATTTCTTTTTGAATATGTTGAATTTTTCAGTTCTTACAATTATTTACGCGAATTTTCTTCTAATTATATCAACGCCTCCAGTTCATTAAATGCTAACATAAATGTCAAAGCAAGATAATTCTGATTGAAAAACCATTGTAATACAATGATATCCAAAAAATTGTGCAATATAATTTTTTTCAATATACAAATTTTGAACATTGTAAATAGTAACTGCAATAACAGAATATTATTAAATTCAAATGATTCAAAATTTATATTTACACATAAAAAATGGTTGGCTAATATATTTAATTATTATTTAATAAATAGAATGGGTTATCTAAATTTGAATCGAAATTTATTTAATGAAATTATTAACTAACCTTAATTTACAATGATAAATATATTTCAATTTTTAGCAATCGTTACAAGATACCAATTCAACAACAACAACTACTACCGCAATGACTGTTATTTTACGAGATCAAGAGCAGGCAACAATCATTGAGGAGAAATAATAATAATAAATATATATAAATAATAAATATAAAAGAAGATTAATACAATAAACGTATAAACTCAAAAATATTTATTAAAGATTGACCAACATTTATAAGTAGCAGGCGACTATTCAATAAAACAGTAATTTTAAATTGGTAAATGTAATTTTCAACTTTGATTGATAGTGTATACTCTTCCAAATGTATTTTTTTATTCTTTTCATTTTATAAACGTTCAAATGACATATTTTTGTAATTTTGCAACCAAACAATTAAGTCATGACAATCCACGTCAAAAACCAATTAAAATTAGTTATCCATTCTTTGCAACGATTACAGTCAACTTCATTCGATAATGTCGCTGATTACGAATCTGAAATCCGTTTTTGAAAATTCAAAATGGAGGATTCAATATGTCCCACAAATTTTAAATAATTTATCAGATTCGTTTTAAACTCGTTACATTAGGCTTTTCGGGGTCACTAATTACGAATCTTAAATCCGTTTATAAAAATTCAAAATGGCGGATCCAATATGGCCAGCAAAGAGTCTCCAGGATAAAGATAGGTAAAATGCCCTAATGTCTGAATTTTTGAATTGACCCGGTACATGGGTATTTTAGGATACTAAAATAAGGTAACTAGGGTCGATATCCGAAAAACCCTCCTGCCCCCCCTATGGTGGTCGAAAATATTTTTTTTCTGATTTATGAGTTGATGAAAAATTCTGAAAAAATTCATGAAGCTAGTGTTTGAGATGTACTACAATCCATACAGTTGTTGAGTTACCATATATGTATATTACCATCAGCGGGAGCTGTGATACGCGCTTTAAACAATAGATGGACATAACAATGTGACCTATTTGTTATGTAGCTGATACATAACGTGTTTGCTGGGGAGTTCGATGAACAACAAAGTGAATCCATAATCCTCTTTGAAGACAATCAAAGCTAAGTTGAAAAATTAATTTCTCGAAAAAAGTGAAACTTGGGAAAATTGTTGTCCTACCTGATAGTAAAATATCCCCAAAAAAATTTTGACTTTTTTGAAATTTTTGGGGAGATAGAGGGGGTCAATTTTATCAGTTTTCCTTGACACCGCCTACTATTTGAATTTTTGCTGTCTATAAATGCAATAAAAAATTTTTGAAGGATTTTTCATGCTCTTTCCAATGGTAAATTTTGTTTTTAAAAATTTCTGAATTTTTACCTTGATTTTTTATAATTAAACATAAATTTGCTTTTTTCACTCAAATCGGTCCGTTTTTTTTAAATAAATAATTGCATACAAAAGCTGAGGTTTTTTCCGATCTGTATATAAATTTTCAGAGTGGTAATTTTTTTTGTTTTCGAGATATTAAATGTCAAAGATTTTATGTCGGCGCGCGCGGCGAGGCGGTCGACTCATACCGCGCCGCGGTAGCTATTTACACTGACGCGCGCGGACATAAAATTTTTGATATTTAATATCAAAAAACAAAAAAAATCGGCATTCTGAAAATTTATATACAGAACGGAAAAAACCTCAGCTTTCATTTGCAATTATTTATTTTAAAAAACGGATCGATTTTAGTGAAAATAGCAAATTTATGTTTAATTATAAAAAATCAAGGTAAAAATTCAGAAATTTTTAAAAACAAAATTTACCATTGGAAAGAGCATGAAAAATCCTTCAAACATTTTTTATTGCATTTATAGACAGCAAAAATTCAAATAGTAGGCAGTGTCAGAGACAACTGATAAAATTAACCCCCTTTTTATTTCCCCCAAAATTTCAAAAAAGTCAAAAAAATGTTTTGGGATATTTTACTATCAGGTAGGACAAAAATTTCCCCAAGTTTCACTTTTTTCGAGAGATCAATTTTTCAACTTATGACATTACACGTAAAATGCCTCATATACAAAGAAGAAATGTCTCTAAACATTGTCAATTCTATGATTTAAAGGATCACACGTGAGAAACTTTGTAGGAATCTTCAATAGGGGAGCCTTTGTTGAGTGAGTGAGTCGGTATCCACCCATTTTCCCGAAAATATTTACTCGAAAGACATTTTCACGAAGAGTAAATTTCACGAAAGTCAAAAATCACGAATACCATTTCCCGAAGACTTTTTTCACGAAAAGTTTTGTTCCCGAATGTAAAAAAAAAATTTTGTGCTTTATCTTACCGAAATTCTTGTTAGGAATTACAGGTTAACATTGTGAGCCATTTTACGTAACTAATCCAAATCCCGTTGTTCATTTTTGTATTCATTATACTCTAATGAAATTGCCCTTAAGGTATCCGGACAAAAAGTCCAAAAAAAAATCCAGAGTAAATGAAATCCAAAATCAAAAAAAAAATTTTTATTAACTTTGGAATTTTTTTATTGGATTTTTTGTCCTGGTCAAAAAATCCACAAAAAAAATAAAAATATTAAAATCCAAAATAAAAATTGGAAACAATTATGTTGAATGAAATTGATGTGATTGTCTTTTTTTTGTTTATAAAGTTATGTAATTTCAAAATCTCTCGTAACACTTAGTCCTTTCACATTCAACGTCAGTAACAAAATTATTAAGTATTATTAATAACAAAATTATTATTATTATACAATTTTCAAAATTATCAAATACAATATGGAAACATTAGAAATTATAACAAAAGGTAGAAACGTTTATGGACATTATCAAGGCTTCTTGTATGTAGGATCTGATAGCAAAGGTGCTGTGAAATATTGGAAATACAAAAATAATAAAAGTTGTTCAGCACGCTTGACCACTATAAATACAGGCGGAAAACTGTTGATTAGAAAGGGTGGTTCAGCCGAGTCTCATATCGGTCATGGACCTAACCCCGATGAGGTTGAAACTCTGCGCGTTATGTTAAGAATAAAGGTAAATTCATGCTAAATATAAAATAAAATAGAAATGTATAAAAAAATATTTGAATAGAAGAATTTTTTTGTTTATTTTGAAAAAAAATTTTACGTGCAGCGAGCAGCACAGACTTATCCTGAACGTCCACCTTCTGCAGTAGTGCAGGAAGTGCAAAATGTCACAGAAGCTGTGCAATCACAGTTGCCCGACTTGCCTAGTATACATAAGACGGTTCGACGAGAACGCCTGCGATTAATGCCTGCTAACCCTACAAGCATCGAAAATCTGGAAGATTTGCCTGATACTTTGGTCGGTGAAAATTTTTTAATTTATGACTCACATAGTGATGAAGAGTACAATTTGACCTGTGGGAGAATTTTAGTATTTGCAACGCGAGAAAATTTGAAAAATCTTTTTTTAAGTCGGACATTTGGTACCTGGATGGCACTTTTCAAACGGTTCCTTCCATTTTCTTTCAGCTGTTTACAGTAATGGGATCTGTTAATCAAATTAAGAAGGGTATAGAACGAAAAATAGCTTTTCCTTTCGTTTACGCCCTTTCAGAAAGCAAGAAGCAGGAAGCATATGCAAAAGTTTTGGAAGTCATATTGTTATATGCTGAAAGCATTGGGATTACTGTGAAACATCCTGCAACCATTATGTCTGATTTCGAATTAGGAATTATCAATGCTATAAAAATTCATTTTACCGCTGATATTATCAAATTGTGTTTATTTCACCTGAGTCAAAATATTTTCCGTCAGATTCAGGGAGAGGGTCTGCAACGACAATATGCTGATGAGAACGACTCCAGCATTCGAGAAGCTGCTCGCAGCATGTGCGCGTTAGCTTTTGTCTCTCCAGAAGATGTTGTATATACAAGGCACAAAGCTAGTATAAATGCCAACGTCAAACTATACTACTACTACTACTACTAGAAGATGTTGTCAATATATTTGATATATTTTACAATGAGATTCCCGAAGAGTTCACTTTAATTGCTAATTACTTCGAAGTTAATTATATTTGCGGTATACGTGCTATCGGAAGAAGAAAGGCAGTAAAGGTACGTTACGATCCATCTCTAACAATGCGTCGGAAGGGTGGCACAATCGCTTACAAATTTTAGTTGGACGAAGTCATCCAAGCCTATATCACTTTCTAAAAGACTTGCAAAAGGAACAAGCCGATGTTGAATACATGTTACGGGAACTTAACTTGGGAAAGGCAATCAAAAACTTACCGCGACGAAGGCAAAAGCGTTTGGAGGATCAAATTTTTGGAATTGTAGGAACTTGCCGAGAATACGCTGAGGAGGAAAATGAAGTTTTTTTTTCAAAAACATTTACAACATCGCACTTATTTGGACTTTGCCGTGAACAATCAAGGTCATCATTTAAGTAATATTCTTTTTAATTGTCTTGAATGATCTAACATATACTTCGTGACATCCGGAAAACTGGATAAAATATCACTTTTAGAATAAGTCTTAGGAAGAATTGTTAACAATTGAACTTTCTTTGATTTAGATGTACAATTAATCTGAAATTTTATTTTCATTTCTTTAATTCATCATCCCTAACAGTGATACAGGAAGAGCTTACGAAATTTTGTTTGCAATAACTGTTGTAAAAGAATCGTCAGTTTCGTTCATAAGGGTTGTTTGTATTTTGAAAAATATGTGAAATATCGAATTAAAATTTAACATACTTCATAGAACGAATTACTGAAATAATTCAGTTTTCAACAGACTTAGTTTTGAGGGTAATTTTTATTCCGAAAGATTGGATTTTTTCAATAATAATGTCACGGCTTTTGTCACATCTTTACGTAATTTACTTTATAATGTTAATTGAAATTTTTTGTTGTATTCTTTTTTCTTACCGATTTACCTCTTAACTTGATTGATGATTAACTTTGATGTTTAACATTTAACATTTGGCGATATAGTTTTAGTTTATACATATGTAACTCTTAAAGGGTCTTAATTGTTACCCGTATATGTCATGAATAAATAAATAAATACTTGTTTTGCATCCTATTTACTATTTGTTAACAAAAAAAGAAAGAATTCTGGGAATTCAACTTTAATTTCAAATAAAATCCCTCTTATTTAACAATACTTTGCTGTTAATTTCTAAAAATACGACCGACTCTGGCGGATCTCGAAATCGGAATGTACGCTGCATTCGTTGTACATTCGTTACACATTGGTTAAACATTTAGTTGGAGTGAAAATTGTGTAGAAACTGTGGAAAAGTGTAATTGAATTGAATAATAAAAGTATTTAGTGATAGATTTGTGCTGTATTTGTGATAAATTAACGTGTTATTATTAAATAAATAAAGTTTAAAGTGTAAAATGTTCGCGTAAGTGAGTTTGACAGGCTAGGGAATTTTCTAGTGACATCCAAATTGATAGTCGATAAAGAAGTTGAGCCGCCAACTTTGCACGGTAGGTGGCAGCATTTATACTTTTTCCTTTTTAAAAATTCTCTTTTTCAATTGTAAATAGAAAAATTAATTAATTAATAAGTTATATAGTTTCTATGTTGTCATTTTTTTTCACAATTGAATTTTTGAAGATTATTTAATGAGATAAATAAAACTTGTATAATCGATGCAAATTGTTGTTTTTTAATTAAATTCAATTAAATTCATTTAATCATAATTTTAATAAAGAAAACTTTTTTTATCTTTCTTTATTTTATTATAATTTATTTTTAATATAAATGTAATTAAAAGAAAAGATTTATTTAAAAGTATTTTAAAAATAACAATTTGCATCGATTATACAAGTTTAATTTATCTCATTAAACAATCTTCAAAAATTCAATTGTTAAAAAAATGACAACATAGAATCTATATAACTTATTAATTAATTAATTTTTCTATTTACAATTGAAAAAGAGAATTTTTAAAAAGGAGAAAGTATGAATGCTGCCACCTACCGTGCAAAGTCGGTGGCTCAACTTCTTTATCGACTATCAATTTGGATGTCACTAGAAAATTCCCTAGCCTGTCAAACTCACTCACGCGAACATTTTACACTTTAAACTTTATTTATTTAATAATAACACGTTAATTTATCACAAATACAGCACAAATCTATCACTAAATACTTTTATTATTCAATTCAATTACACTTTTCCACAGTTTCCACTCAGTTTCTACACAATTTTCACTCCAACTAAATGTTTAACCAATGTGTAACGAATGTACAACGAATTCAGTGTACATTCCGACTTCGAGATCCGCCAGGGGAGTGATAAATGATCTTTACTTATTAATATTAATCATACCTGCACAACATTGATGCACATAGACGTCAAAGCTAAACCAAAGACGAGATAAACGATGGAACACATCATGTATATTGGATGCTGAAAAAAATATATTGTTATTTTAAAAAAAAATTACGTTGGGAAATGTGGGGAATCTAAGCAACTCAAGTTTACCTAAATATTGAGATATAAAATTTTATCACTTATAAATGATTTGGCTTGTATGTTACAAATTCAAAATTTTTCACAGACATATGATTTTGTAGGGTATTATTTTTACCATTAGTTCTTGCAAAAACATTGTATTTGATTGTTAAACATTAATATTAATTGTTAAAGTTAATGTAAACGGTTAAATAAGTTGAATGTATAGCTTACCGTGGGTACATAATCTCCAAAGCCAATAGTGCTCATAGAAATAAAGACAAAATAAAAACTTTCAAAAAAACTCCAATTATCTTCCCAAAAATGGTAAAGTGTTGCTCCAATAAAGATATAACCTAATAATATTGAAATGGCAACTGATATCGGCAAATTAAATTCATCGTCAATAGCAAATGTAGATATTGTTGGTGTAACTGGTGTATCAGGAACAGATGCAGACTCATGATGACATGTTAAATTTTCATTTAAATCTTGAAAAGATTGGGCTACGGAACATTGTTTTTGCGTCGTTTCAATTTCTGCATTCATGTTTGATGGTCTTCGAAATGTAGCCAGATCGTAAACTAATTGTACACCTTTCATGACTTCCTGAAATTTTAGAAAGCAAAATATTGAAGTTAACTTATGCATTTAACATTAGAAAAATAATTTTAAGAAATGATAAACAAATGTGAGCTGCTTGTGCAATTTATACATTTATTATCGATATTACGTACTTGGACAGGTGCAGTTTTTCTAACTTTGCGACAACTCCCAGTGTAATACAATCTTCGTATAAACGCCCAAAGAAATTTTATACCTCGTGTAAACAGTTTTCCAAAATCTGCTAAAATAATTAAAAACATTGGAATTCCGAAAATAGCGTAAACTATAGTAACAGCCCTTCCAGTTGTTGTAGTTGGCGCAATATGACCATAACCTGAGAACCATAAAGTTTCTTTTATGAAAAAAACAAAATTGAGTTTTAAATATAAATTTTTCTACAAATATCACACCAGCTTGACAAAGTGTTACATTTAAACAATTGTACACTAAGTATTATTAGTAATTAACTAATTGAATAAAATTTATTTTCAATAAAAATTAAATATCTCATTTAATGTCAATAATTTGATTAATATAATAAAATTATGAAATTAAATTAATTTAAAATTATTCAAATTTTATATATAATTTATGAAGATACTATTATTAAAAAAAAATTATATAGTCTTTTTTCCAAAAAGTTCTTTTAATCAAAAACATTTTTAAATAGCAAAATTTAAGGGGATGTATAATAAAATCGTCTTTCTTACGTCAAGACGAATCGATTGGTATATATGATGTATTCCACGCCAAAGTGTAAGTCCATCTGCAATTGCATCTCCGATTGAAAGTTTTTTTTTTTTTAATTTTGCATATTTTACCCAATAAACGAAAAAAACCAAAAATTTTGGGACTTTTTTATGGTTTTCACCATAAAAATCAAATTTTTGGGTATTGTCATTATGATTTTCGTAATCAGCGCATCAAAATACATAAAACTACGTAGTATAAAAAGAACCAAAAATATTTTTAAAAAATTCAATATTCAAGAATTTTTGAAAAATTCCGAAAATATTGTAAAAATCGTTTGTCCATTATAGGGCTAGGCTTAAAAGTTTCGTAAAAAGAAGTAGTTTTTTTTTAATTTTGAAAAAAATCGATCAGTATACGTCAAATGAGAAAAATGACTTTTTATCATTAAAACTCAAAAATTTGATAGTAATATCGTTTTAAAAAAATTTCGTTTTTTTTGAAAAGTACGTTTAAAAACACACATTTTGAAAAAAAAGACTTTTAAAATTGATGCATTTTTAAGGAAGTTATGAGCAGTCAAAAATTAAAAGTCATAAAAATTCTCCAATTTTCAAAATTCCATAACTCGAAAACGGCTTGCTAAAAAAATTTTAAAAAAAATGAATGGAAGCTAGTCTCAATTAGTACTAAAAGAAAAAAAATCGGAGATGCAATTGCAGATGAACTTACACTTTGACGTGGAATACATCATATAAAGTATAAATTTGATTTAAAATTAAAAAATTAATGAAAGTTAAAAATTTCACTTTTTAGCCAAAAAAATGTTGTGTTTGTTTAAATTCAAGTTTAAACATAAAATAATTGTATTCCTTGCATTGGAACAAATCGATTGGTATATTTTTCTTTCAATGTTAATGCTTGCTTCACGAGGAAGCAAATTCTGTTGCTGATCGTAAAGAGGAAGCAAAATGTTCATGAAATGAACATAAAGGACGCTCTACTTGTATTTTTATTATTATAGCAATGTAAAATAACACAGTGAATCAAACAATAAATTATAATAATTGCTTTTTTCATATTTAAAAAAAATATTTTATGATATTTTATAATAAAATATTTTTTTATAAAAAAAATCGGACAAGTGCGACTTACACTCACACTGAAATCGAAGGTTCCGTACACGAAGCGAACTTATTTGGTATAAAAACAAATGTTTAAAAAATATAAGTTTTGTATGTAAAATAATATAAGTGATACAAAAAAGAAACAATTTTTTAAAAAAATTTAAGAAAATTGTTCCTCTTCGTATCACTTATTAGATTATTTGACATACTAAACTTATATTTTTTAAACATTTGTTTTTAAACCAAATAAGTTCGCTTCGTGTACGGAACCCTCGATTTTAGATTTTATTTTCAATTAAAATAAACATTTTTTTTAAAAAAATGTGAAAAGCATATCGAATTAAAAAAGGAAGAATAGGAGGAAGAGAAAAATTTTTAAAAAAATTAAATAGAACAGAGAAACGAATAAAAAACTTATGGGAAAAGTCCACTTTTTCCAAAAAATTATCTTTTTCGAAAAAAAATTAATAAAAACAACTTCTTATCATATTTGTTAATTTATTTTTATAATCTACACATAAAAATTCGTTATTGGCAGAAAATTCATGATTTTTTCTAAAATTATCAGTTTTTTCTTGACAGCGCTAGGGTGTCGATTATGTAATTCGATTTGATTCTGAAGTCAAATTCAAATTTATTTCGACGTCAAAGACAAATTTAATTCGAGAAATTAATTTTTTAATTTGATTTTGACGGTAATATTTCACCAAGTTCATATTTATTTTGCTAGAAATTAATATATTTATTTACACTTCAATGGGCCTAAAGCCCTTTCGTACACTCCAAATCTGAATCAGTGAAAATTTCACTGAATTGAAATCAGTGGCTCAGTTTTCTTTAATTCACCATTGAAATTTCACTGATTCAGATTTAGAGTGTACGAAGTTCTTAACAAAAGATAATAACTATAACCAATATAACAAAAAATGACAAAAATAAATTAATTATTTTATTATAGTTATTTAAGTTAAATCAATAATTGCCATCTTTAAGCTTATAACAAACTTGCTTAAAGGTGTAATAAAAAAATCTAAATCTTTATCAAGTGTGTTTGCATCTCTACAAATTCTATTCAATGGGGAGTTTTCTCCGTAAAAAATTATGAGAATATTCCACGGTGATATTAAGAGAATATCGGTGATATGACCTGCTGCTCGGGTAGTTGAAAAAATTTTCTCACCTATTGTTGTAATCACAGTTAAGGAATAAACCATAGAATTTAAAAATGTCCAACTCTTTTTTCCACTGTATGAATAAATTCCAGCTTCATGAGCGGCGTGAAGTTGATCCTCAAATTCCATGAGCTTTCGCCGAGCCATACTCTTCCAGTCATCTTCCTTTAAGTTATAACTGTACTTCCATAAGTCATCCAAAAATTCTCTTTTAACTCTTTTCACTCCGCATTTGTAAAAATTTTCAAAAGTACTTTCAGTAAATCTAAATAATAATGCTCCTAATCCACAGTAGACAAAAATTAATATCAATTCTGCCAAACATTTATTTCGCAGTAAACGTATTTTTCTAACTTCTTCCGGTTGCTCATTCATATATTTTTTAACATTTAAACTGAGATAATTAATGCTTTTGAAATAATTAAAAATATTTAATTTAAAAAATATTCTTTTTAAATCAAATAGCTTAATTTTTACAGCTAATTTTTTTAAAAATGAAAACGTTGAATTGTCGTTAATTTGTTTATTTTTCCGTTCTAAATAAATTCTGGAACGTTTTTCTTTTTGTGCTTTATCGAAATCATCAATTAAACTTTCTTCATTCAATAGAATAATTTGCTTCCGGTATTTAAATTTGTTTTCTTCTTTAAATATCTTGTCTGACAATGGCAAAATATAATCACAATTCGTATTAGAATTGTCAGGGTATAAAAAATCTTTGTTTATTTTACAATAATTTCGACGATGTCGAACAGTTTCCTTTTTTCTGTTGATTAATTTCTGTTTGTCTTCATTTAATAACTTTGAATTTTTGTTTTTAGAAAAATTGCTACTTTTATTAGAACCATTATTTTTATTATTATGACAATCAACATCACTAGTTTCTACATAATCAGTTAATTGTTGGAAATCGTATGGTTGTGGACATACAGGTTCATTAAACTGTTTTTCACTAATCGAATTAATTTCAGTTTTATTTAAACTTACATTTTTTGCCTTGATTATATTTTTTTCTTCAGTACATTCAATAGGTTTATCTATTTTTCCATCTAATACATTGCATCTTTCTTTAAAACATTCAACTTCCGTGTCTGAAAATTCCATCACTGTATTGTTTTTGATATTTGTAAATGTAAATATTTTTTAATTTATAAATTTTTGTTTTGTTTTTAATTTTATTGTTTATTTTGAAACTTTTTTATTTATACACTTCTTCTTTTATATGATTATTAAAATTTATGAATTATACACTTCTTAACATGATTGTACGAACCAAAACAGAGTAAGATTAAAAATAACTTCAAGTTCTGGTGATCCTAAGGAGATATAAATAAACTTAAGTTTTCTCCTACTACAACGAAATGTAATTAAATAAGAATACAAAATTAAAAGTTTATAACCTTTCTAATATGAAATATAATATTTTATGATAAGAATTATTTTTATTTCTTTAAGGGGTAACATCACCCAAACATTTTCAAAAAATTGAATTTTTTTGCTTAAATGGTCCCTTAGAGTATTAGAAATAATATCCTATTAGTTTGAAGTCGAAAAAATACTTGAACTATTTTTAAAAAATAATTTTCGGACGAAAGACACATTGCATTGTAAACAAATTTAACATATTCGTAATGAGCAACCCCAAAAACTCCCGAGTAACAAGTTTTAAGCAAAACAGCGACCCCAAAAAACCCCTATCAACATTTTTTATGTAAATCCGTTAAATTTTTAATTTTGTAATCCGCCATATTGCATCCGCCATTTTGAATATTTAAAAACTCACATCGGATTTTGGGGTGGTAATAGATTTCATTACTATTTTTTAAGAATGCCTAAAATAAAAATAATAAAGTTTAATATATTTAGAAACAAAAATTATAATAGTTTTTGCGAAATTCATAATTGTATTATGAAAACTCCAAATATTAAATTCTAATACGCCCTGTAACAAGTATTAGAATAAAATATTTCATTTTCTGTATTTAGAATTCCGTTAACTGGTATAATCATTTTACATTTTGATATAGTCGATAAGAAAGTGGATTGGTGTTAAATCCTTATATTTACATATAATACTAATAGAAACTTTTTCTTTTAAAAAATGATAGAAAAATATCAAAAATCACCAAAGTTTGACGAAGTTAAGCGAGTGAGTCCGACCGGGTTTGACCGATCACTAACGAGTAGTCACGAAAAAAAAATGTATTTTCCTTGAAAAAGGACATGTTTTCGGAAATTCGCTTTTTCTCAAAACACCGTTTTTTGATCTGGCGGACATCCTAAGAATCATAAATTTTTATTAATATTTAACCATTTTTATAAACAATAATTTAAGTTGAAAAAATAATGTCAAAAATGAAAAAAGTCCGCCATTTTGTTTTTTTTTCATCGAAAATAGTTGATCGTAGTTCCGACGATAGCGACAAGCTTACTTTTCAAGAAAATATCAAAAATTACATTTTTCGATGATCTGAATTAGAGATATCTTGTCCGCTAATCACAAATAGGGATATTTTCATGTGGCCATGAAAGCAAGATAATTCATAATAAATAAGGAATAAATTTTTTTTAATAGTTTAAAACCCTTTCTTTGAGGTATAAAAAGTTTGAAGTAAATAACATAAATTTTGTAAAAAAAATGTTTAAGAAAAGTCACTGAGATGTGATACTAAGCCCTTAAAGAGTTTTCTTAAATATAAATATTTTAGACAAAGTTTCATTTTTCGAAATAACTTTTGAAAAAATTTCTTCATAAACGAATTTTTACTACATTTTTAAGTACCGAATTTCTATTTCATATAATTACTTTTTACCTAACTTTTTATTTAAAAAATTTTAATTTAACTGAATATTAATTGAGCACTCTCTAAATCCGAATTAGTAAAAATGTTTACTAATTGAAATTAGTGACTCACTTTTTGCTTTAGAATTAGTTAAATTTTACTAATTGTTAGTAAAAGTTACTAATAGTTAGTAAAATTTTACTAATTTAGAAGCAAAAAGTGAGTCACTAATTCAAATTAGTAAACATTTTTACTAATTCAGATTTAGAGAGAAGAACTTTCATTCAATAGAATTTTAAATGGTTTAAAATTTTCAAATGATATATTTTCAAATTCATTGTATCTTTATTTGCACGAATTTTTGTTCGATAGAATTCTTAAAACGTCCGAAATTATAATTGTTCGAACCAAAAACGGAATGAAAGATTTTGGTGCGATCAAGAAAAATGAGGGAGTGGAAATTGGAAAAAGAAGAAGTGGAAATGGAAATTGAGAAAAGTGGATGTGGAAATGGAGGTGGTAGAGAAAATTAGAAAAAGTTGTAGTGGAAAAAAGTGTGAGGGGGAAATTTTGAATAGAAAAAACTTTTATTGATCGTTTAACAAAATTGTTTTTGTTCAACTTAATGTAAATAAATAATTATTATCATTAATCTTACCTATTGTAGTATAAATTGTTCCGCAATAAAATACAGCATTCCAAAAAGTCCATACTTTCTCCTTCTTATCCATTAAACCACTTTTATAAAATTGGAATAATTTCTCTTCGTAATTGGTTAGTAGGTTACTAGCTTTTCCTTTCCATATTGATGGATCTTTAAGAGAAGAATCATCCTCATTCAAGTCTTTAATGGCTGATAAAGTTTCATTCCTATGAAATGATTATTTTTAAATTAATCACACACTACAATATTATGTATGACATTCTGCGATATTTTATATTGTTAGGAGTATATATACATACACGGATAGAAAAAGTTTGCTGTGGCAGCGAACTATTTGCTGTCACAGCAAATTACGTTAGCTATATATATATATATATAGGGACAGCGAACAAATTTGCTGTGTGGTCAAAAAAATTTGCTGTGACAGTAAATTTAAAAAAATTAAAACTGATATTGTTTATCACAGCAAACTTCTTCGTTGTCATATCAAAAAATTTAGCTGTGGTTACTAATTTTGATAGATCCGATAGCAAACATCAGTTATCATTTGACAGCAATTCCTCTTTTTGCGTGTAACTTACATCAGTATTACAATTAAAATATTTCTTAAATTCTATTAAGGAAAGAGGATGATAGTTGTTGTTCACCTATACTAAAGGGTAACACCACGCGTCAGAGGTTGAAAAGCAGACCTGACTTTCATAACTTATTTTGTAAATATAAAACTAGAAATATGAATTTTATAGGGTTTATTTATGAGCCTTTAAATTGAGATTAATGGGTTATACCTGTTTAGAGGCTTAAAAAAAGGGTGTTTTTCAAGATTTTTTGTAAGTACAGTTTTAAATTATTGTTCGCAACTAATATACCATTTAATTTTCATATACTACATAAGATTATCTAGTGAAGTAGACTCGATCATAACTTTAGAATTTTTTTTGTAGAATTGCGAAATTACAAAAAAATAGCATTTTTCACCTAAAAAAGTCGACTTTAATTGTTCATAAAAAAATCCTCTTCATAAATTTTAAAAATCTTGTGTTCATTACTATATAATTTAACTGAGAAGTTACAGTAAAATTTTTTGGTCAATTGAACGAAAGCTCTTCATGTTCTACTACTCGGCGATTTGTAAAATATGGTTTAGAGAAAAAGTCGTTTGAACTTGCTATGTCAAACACTTTTATTCCCACTCCCACCCAAGCAACGTGGTAAAAGATTATCCGAACTAAGTTTTTTAAGGTAAAAGTCAACATTTAATTATAATTCTGCTTTTTTACGCTTCGGAAATGCTCAAGAAAAGATAATTTTATGAACATTTTCAAGTTGTTTTCATGCAAGGACGTTATTGATTATTCATCCAGGAATGTTATAGTGTATTTTAAGCCAATAAAAAAATTCCAAACAGGTATAATCCCATAAAATAAAAGTCGAATCGAAATTACTAAAAATGGTCGGATTTTTATTAAAAAATTCAAAATAGTGAATCATCTGTTGAATTTTTCAAAATTTATCAGATTCTTTTGAAACTGTGCACTCAGTAGTTTTGTAAGTTTCTAATTACGAATTTGACATCGCCCAAGTAGCACGAAATATTGCTTGAATGACAAGGTGATATCAAGCGAGAATATTCTTGTGACATTCAGGCGATATCATAATGTCCGCTTCATGGGGACATTCCACGGTGATATTCCTGTGACATTCGAGTGATATTCGTATGATACCGCGGGAATATTCCTGTTATTTATAAAATTTTAAAATGTTGTTTGTTTTGATTGTTTTGAATATTTAAATAAAAAAATAAATAAATGGAAAAAAAATAGAAAAAAATTTTTTTTTAGAATTTTTTAAATTATCTCATCAATATCACTAGAATATTCCCTCAATATCAGAGGAACATTCCTTCAATATCACAGGAATATTCCGCTCAATATCACAGGGATATCCCCTCAATATTTCATGAATTTCACAGGAATATTCCCTCGGTATCATACGAATATCACGCGAATGTCACAAGAATATCACCGTGGAATGTCGCCACGAAGCGGACATTATGATATCGCCTAAATGTCAGAGGAATATTCCCACTTGATATCACCGTGACATTCAACCAATATTCCGTGGTACTTGGGCCGAACTAGAACCTCTTCTTAATATGATTTTATATTTATATTCACCTAAATTGTCGCATATCCGAGCGGTACTTGCTTTCTTGTGTTCCTTCCACTGTGACAAAAATCATTGCTCCGGCAATACTGTACAAAAGTACAATAACAAATAGAAATATGTGTGTAAACCATCTTTTACTCCAGGAACTAACCTGTAGGAAAAATTTTATCAATAAAATATTTGCATAAATTTTTATTATCAATGCCAATACCCCAATCTCACCCTTGATTTTCGGATGAACTTTGAGCGGAATTCGGAAAAAAAATTTTTCATACCTTTTCATAGAGCCAAAATGCGCTTCTTTCTCCAACACTTAAGCCGGTTTTCGTAAAATCCTTTATTCCACGGATTTGTGTGAATACAAAGCCATTGTTCTCTTTATTATAAATTACACTTGCTTCACTAACAACAGGGGTCATAATAATTGGAGATTGTCCATATGGAGTTGAAACGTAACCAACAGGCGTTTGCTGTATTTCTCCACATTGTCCCCTCAAAGGGAGAACAATTTTTGGTTTGATTGGTAATGTACGTGTTTGCTTAGAATATGACATTATGTATACAATGATCCTAATTTAATGTGTTGAAAAAATACAATTTTTCAATTTAGAGCTATCGTTTTATTGTAATTTTTAACCCCTAATTTGTGTT